ATAAGTAGTGGCTACTACTTTTTAATAAATAGGAGAATGAAGGCTGCAATCCCCACCCCCACCCCCTCACCCCCGCCCAGCACCCTTTCACACATGATTCATTCCTCCCAGCCTCTCTCTTGCAAATCTGAAAAGGTCTTGATTCCTGGAGCTCCTAGAGGAGGTGGTTGCCCTCAGGAAAACCAACAGGGCCAGTAATGACCTGCTTTTTTCTTTTGTGATCACTTTGAATCACCAGTTCCCAGAATCCTTACAGTGGTAAAAGTGCAACCCCCACCCCACCTCCAAAACCCCTCCCCTACCAGATACACCCCCACCCCAGAACTCAGGACAGCACCTGTCTGCCCAGGGAAAGCAGCTGCCCTTCTGCTCAGCAGTGGGGCTGAACAGATGAAAGGCATCCCTGGTGAGTGCCCCCAGCCCCCGAGTCCCCCATGGGACTTGGATAAAGAATGTCTGGGAGACCAGAAGGTGGACACGGAGGTATTAGTTTCCAGGAGAGCAGAGAAACTTGCATGTGTGGCTGCCAAGCCCACAGCGCCTGTGGAGGGGAGGATGTGGAAGTGGGGGAAGAAGGGAGGGCAGTGAGGCAGGGAAGTGGAGTTCTCCTCTGCACCCACCATCCTGAATGAGCGGGCAGCAGAGGCCAGAGCTCTGAGTTCAGGGCCCTGTGGGCCTGAGGGTTTTGTTCTCGGCCTCAGGCCAGGGCAGCCTGTAAACACTAGCCCTCTGTGGTGAGGTTGTCCTGGTAAAAGTGTGGGGTTGGCTCAGTGTCGCTGCGGGGAAAACAGCTGTAGGCACAGGCTGCTGGGGTGGTGGGAGAGACCACAGTGGTACCATCTTGGTAAAGCACAGGCAGCCAACATTTGTTCGGAGCTTCCTATGTCCCCAGCACTGTATTAACTTATTTAATCCTTGAAGCGACAGCCTGGGGTGGGTTCTATTATTACCCCCATTTTACAGACCAAGAAACTGAGGCCCACATATAAGTCACTTGATCAAGGTCACACAGCCATTGAGTAGCAGAACCATGATATGAACCCATGCAGTCTGTTTCCAGAGGGTGTAATCTTAATCATTTCTGTTTTCCAAATTGCTTCTCTTCAGGGGCCTTAGCTCAGCAAGTACTTACACTTTCAATTGTGTGGTTATATCATGAATGTCTGTCTTCACAGACAATTCATATGAGACTGAAGGCATGAACTTTGCCTGCTTTTCTTTCCTGATTCTCCAACACCTTGCACACAGTAGGTGCTCAATATGAACTTGAAGGAATGCGTGAATAAAAAATCAATGAATCTTTGAATGAGACACGCCCTCGGCCTTTCTAGCTTAGGGTGCAGGGCTCATCTCCTGCCCCTGCTCAAGCCTAGCAGCATCCCAGCAAGCGCCAGCGTTGCTATGGTGACAGTAAGAGCATCTTACCAAGCATCTCACTGAGTCAGTCCTCACTCAGGTGGCCTTGTCGGCTCCCTAGGTGTGGCTCTTTCTGGCTGTTGATCCGGGGAGTTAGTCACCGGTGCTTGGCAGGAGGTGGGAAGGTGTACTCCATGCAAACAGATGTGTGAAAAAGAAGAGTGTGTGTGTGTGTGTGTGTGTGTGTGTGTCTTGAGTTTGGTTGAATGTGGACCATGTGGGGGGTACTTGCCTGCAGGTTTGTTGGAGAAGGTTGCCTAGGTTGGGGCATGGGGTGTCTTATGTTCTGGGGACAGATGCTGGGTTTGGGGTGGACAGTGTGGACATGAACGGGGCATAAAAGCTGAGTGAAGAAATGCAAGTGAGTGTTCCAGGGTTGAAACCCCTATTTTTCAAACCAAAAACGAAAGCACATCATTCAACAAGGGGCTTCAGGTTTGTGAATGATTTATAAGAAAAATCTCACAAAGATAAAAATTGAATCACATTTAGTTAAACATTTGATAGCTTCCTTTATTGAAAAAAGGAAATTTATATGAAAATCTGGAATGCCGGGATGCTGTCTGTGGGGGCTGGGGAGGGGACCCCTGCCTGTGAGCATATTGGGGCAGGGGTGGGAGGCTGGAGGCTCTGAGGTCTTGCCTCAGGGCAGCCCTTCAGCTCGGCCTTAGGGGCTCAGAGGACCTCGGCCCCTACACGGGCCTGCACAGCCTCTGCTTCACCCAACCACAGCACTGATCACCCTGGACTGTGAGTACCTGGTTGAGCACTGTGACCCCAATTAAAATGTATCACCAGTATATATATACATATTTTTATATATATATATATCTCATATAATATATGTTTTTTGAGACAGAGTCTTGCTCTGTCACCCACGCTAGAGTGCAGTGGCGTGATCTTGGCTCACTGCAACCTCTGCCTCCCAGCTTCAAGCGATTCTTATGCCTCAGCCTCCTGAGTAGCTGGAATTACAGACATGCGCCACCACACCCAGCTAATTTTTTATATTTTTAGTAGAGATGTTAGCCAGGCTGGTCTTGAACTCCCAACCTCAAGTGATCTGCCCGCCTCCACCTCCCTAAGTGCTGGGATTACAGGCGTGAGCCACCGTGCCCTGCCTGTATGCTCATTAGAGAAGCACAATAACTGTTTGTTGAATGAATGAACAGATGAAAGCACACATACCGTTTCTCTAGCAGCAAAATTCTCAGCTAAAGGAACTCCCTTCTATCACACATTTGTATGCCTCCTTGCAATCCTGTCCCCACAACTCCCCACTATGCAAACACAGCCATACAAAACCCAGCAGGAAGGCACCTAGGTCTCTCTATGGCTGGGAAAGGAAGCCTTAGGCAAGGGGATAGCTGCAGTGACACCCTCTCCTGGGCTGGCCCCATGTTAGAGATTCTGAAGCCATAGACTGATAGACTGAGTTCTAAACAGGCCCCACTGTCTGCATCTTCTCCCTAGCCTTGCCAAGCCCATGCAGTGGGCTGGGAGGACAGGTGAGAGCGGCCGCTAGCCACCAACCTGAGTAGAAGTAAGCTGCCGTGCTGACTAGCACAGGCAGGTGACTCAGCATGGGTTGACTGAGAATAGCTTCTGTCCCGAAGTCTAAAGTTAGAAGAGGAAATTGCCCCGACCCTTGACTTTTTCCCTAGTTAATCCAAGAGATGCTATGAGCCTCTGGTACATGCAGATCCCTTTAGAGATGGGGAAGGGGAAGACCTGGGAGCTACAGCTGCTTCCACAGTGATTCTGGTGTTCACCTGCAGGTGTTGAAGACTTGGGTATTAATTCTTGGGTATTAATGGAATCAGTGCCCATCCGTCGTCTTCCCCAGTCCTGCTCGTTCTCCAGGAACCACCTCAAACGATAACAATGACAACACTTATTTTGTGCCAGGAATGGTCCCAAAGCAATATATCTATACTTTCACACTTATTTAATCCTCATAACCTTATGAGGCAGATGCCATTATTATCTGTATTTCACAAGTGAGGAAACCAGGGCACAGAGGGGTTAGGTAAGTTGCCCAAGGTCACACAGCCAGTCAGTGTTCCAGGGAATTAATGACATCTCCTCTATGGAGTTTTCCTTCTTTGAGATTTCCCATCTGTAAACAGCCTCTCCCTGCTGTGAACTCAGAGATGCTGATTCTGGTGAGTACCAGAGATCAGTTACTAGGCTTCAAGTGCTTTGGCGTCAGAATTCCTGGCACGCTGATATCTGCATGCCCAACAGCGCCCAGCTCAGGGCCTGCTATAGGAAAGCCTACCCCAGAGACTGCTGGGTGGGTGAATGAATGGGAGTGAGTGAGTATGTGAATGAGCCAACAAACAGGTTCATGAAGAGAGAGCCGAATGGAATTGGGATTTTCCCAGGTGAATTCACAGGCTGGTGGGAAGGGCATATGGGCAAGGCAGCAGACCATGCAGGACTAGCCCAGGTGGGGAACATGCTTGTCACTGTGTGCCCAGCATTGGCCAGGTACCTTAAGGGACAGTCATGAAAGGTCCTCATCTTCAGAGGGCCGGGAAAGGAGATCCAATTAACACCCAAGAAGCAACTGAGGAACAGTTAGTTACAAAACAGTGACTACTGCCTGTGGGGACTGGAAGGGGCCAGTTAAAGAAGTCAGGACTGCCTTTCTGGAGGAGGAGGAGAAGAGGCTGGCACTGAGCTAGGCAGAGGGTGAGGACAAGAGAGAAAGACAGACGCTACAAGATAAGGAGGCAGGAAAGAGCATAGTGATCTGGAGAAACGCGAGGATGACAGTGTGAGTTTCTGTGGAGAGGAAGCAGAAATTGAAGCTGGCAGAGGAAGAGGCGTGGGTTTACAGAGACATAGGTTTGAGGCAAGTGTGGCTCATAGATAATTTTTGCGAGGACTTTAAATACGTATCTTAAATTTTAATAAGTACTTAACATAGTACTTATTTTTAAATTATGTCTTTAATTTACATTTGTTGTAAAAGGAAACTTTACATCACTGTCATAAATTGAAAATGAATAGAATAGAATAGAATAGGACCATAAGAATAAGCACAAGAGAAACAAAACCAGGTTACTGCATCCTGGCTGGTATCCACTCCCTTTGGAAGGCTCTGAGCCTGAAGCCTGGCGACGTGGCGAGCGCCTGTAGTCCTAGCTACTCCGGAGGCTGAGGTAGGAGAATGGTGTAAGCTCGGGAGGCGGAGCTTGCAGTGAGCTGAGATCCGGCCACTGCACTCTAGCCTGGGCGACAGAGCCAGACTCTGTCTCAAAAAAAAAAAAAAGAAAAAGAAATCAAGCGAGTCTAGAGAAGTGTTAAAGCATAGTAGCACCAAACCAAGACTTTCTCCATAGCTGGGTCAGCGAGACCAGAAGGAGATGGGAAAGGCCATGCTATTCTCCTTCTGGGACCCGGTGCTGTCTGCCGGCTGCTCCATGGACTCCAGGGCTCTTTCTATTACTCTTGAACCAGCATTCATTTCAGTAACTGATGAGTCTTTAATGCCCAGAGAGGAGCCCTGGCCCCAGCTCCATGCCCCCCCCCCTGCCCTGTGCCCGGTCAAACCTGAATGCTTCTCTCTCTTGCAGGGAATACCAACAGCATCTTTGCCCTGGACTACATCAGCGGAGCACTGACCTTGAATGGCCTGCTGGACCGGGAGAACCCCCTATACAGCCACGGCTTCATCCTGACTGTGAAGGTGAGAACTACATGGGCACCTCCACCCCAGCTAGAGGGGATGCCCCCGCTCAGATGCCAGCCTCCAGTGGTGTCCGAGGGCTCCTGCCCCTGGTGGTGGCTCCAGAAGCACATCGCTTCCGTACTCTCACCCTGCACTGCCTCCCAGGGCTGTGCCCAGGGCCCCATTAGGAAGGCACCCAAATTATGAAGTTGTAGGTGTGCTGGGCGTGCCACATCCATTATCAACAACCACATGGGATGGAACTTGTATGCCCTCTCAGTGGGAGGCACACAGTAGGTGCTCATCCTGTGGTCCTTCCTTACTCTTGTCCCAGGATTCCAAGTTCTCTGTTGCAGCCACCTAGAATTCTGGAACTTGCCCCGTTTCTGGGGTTCTGTCCCACTTCCAAGTGCCACGACTTCCTGGGTTAAGAAACAGCAATGCAGCAGGGAGGAAAGGAGGTGCTGGGGTCCCCACCCCAGAATGTGAGGCAGAGCTACAGTCCCACACCCCGTGCAGCCGCCTGCCACTCACGGTCGGTTTTAATTCAAATCAGTGACTTGCAGAGCCATTCCCTGAGAAACCCATTTGGGAGTATGGATCCTGTCTGAGCCACAGGGGCTCTTCCCAGCCCAGGCCATCAGCCATGGACTGAGAGAAATGGGTGGCCCAAAGACTGAGGCCAGGGGCTCTGGGAAGGAGGCCCTTCCATTGCCATGGGGAGGATGGTGCAGCCCAGCCTGGCCCTTAATTGCTGTCCTTGACCTTGAGAGGCCCTGCTGTTCAGGGTGGGTTAGCCATGGGAGGGTGTACTCACACCACTGTCCTTCCCTCCCGTCTGCTCTCCTCCCATGGAGGTGAGGTGGTCAGGTCCACCAGAGAGAGCTGCCCCCTGGTCCCAGCACCCCACTGTGGGACTTGAACTCTTTCTGTCTTTATATAAAATGTGGGGGTGTGTTCTCACAATTAGCTGTGAACCCAAATCCCCTGGGAAGCTATTGAAAGGTATCTGTTCCTGTGTCTCTTACCCAGAGAGATTCAGATTCAGGTTGAAGTCAGAACTGGGAATGGGCACTTTTGGGCCCACGGCTCTGGCCCACAGACTGGACACCAGTTATCTGAATCAGTCCATCTGTGCTGACCCTCAGTACCGAGCACAGGGTTCAGGCCATAGCAGATGCTCAGTTGTCTTGATTAACCACCAGCACAAACATTCTTGGCCTCAGTTTCACCATCTGCCAAAGAGGATGAAGACTTCCCCCTTGTCCCTCAATGAACCCCCAGATCTGTCTTGTCCTCACCCCATCTCATCCATCTGCTGTCAGTCCTAGGCTCCTACTACCTGAGCTAGAAATCTACTCTGGCTGTGAATCCTTGTACAAGTTACTTAATCTCTCTGAGCCTTAGTTTCCTTATCACTAAAATGGGGATGCTAACGATAAAATCTTCCTCCTGGAGTTGGGGTGAGGATTAGATGGGATCATTCACATTGAAGCACAGTGGCTGGTGCTGAGAAAGTCCTTGGTAAGCAAGAGCTGTTGCTGTGATTAGCTGCCTTCACCCCGGGGTGACCGGTCTCTGTCCGCAGGGCACGGAGCTGAACGATGACCGCACCCCATCTGACGCTACAGTCACCACGACCTTCAATATCCTGGTTATTGACATCAATGACAACGCCCCGGAGTTCAACAGCTCCGAGTACAGTGTGGCCATCACTGAGCTGGCACAGGTCGGCTTTGCCCTTCCACTCTTCATCCAGGTGGTGGACAAGGATGAGGTGAGTCCCTGGACACATGGCCCATGCAGACCCACCACCCATCTGGACCACCCCCCATCCGGACCACCCCCCTGCCTGGGCTGTCCAGGTCCTCAGCTATAAAATAGAAACAAACATTGCAGCACCCCACTCCTGGTAGGTTCTGAGGATAAATAAGGCTGAAAAAAAAATCACTAGTCTCTATTTTTGGATTACCCCCTACACCCTGCAGAAAACATGTGAGCACATGTTTCCATATGTGTGGTTATTATTTAGAAGTTATGTACATGATCATCATACTAATCTAGTAGAGACATTGTAAAGCATGCACAAAAATGCAATTTTAAAAGGTGGAAATAAGGCCAGGTTCAGTGGCTCACGCCTGTAATCCCAGCACTTTGGGAGGCCAGCAGATCACGAGGTGAGAAGTTCGAGACCAGCCTGGCCAACATGGCGAAACCCCGTCTCTACTAAAAATACAAAAATTAGCCCAGTGTGGTGGCAGGCACCTGTAATCCCAGCTATGTGAGAGGCTGAGGCAGGAGAATCGCTTGAACCTGGGAGGTGGAGGTTGCAGTGAGCTGAGATAGCACCGTTGTACTCTAGCCCTGGCAACAAGAACAAGACTCCATCTCAAAAAAAAAAAAAAGTAGAAATAAACCATATATGTATTTTCACACACTGATGGATCATCTGCTGCCCTCTCTGGGGTGCCTGTGCTCATTTTTGCTCCTGTTCAAATAATGACCTTAGCAGAAAGTCTAATTCCTGTTTTTGGTGTAATAATGACCCCAACTTTTCCATGTGAAGAGCGAAAGGACCTAAGTGCTTTGGAGGGGATCCCACGCCATAAGAAGACCCCTGCATCACCAGGGGTCTGCCCTGGCTGGAACCAGTCTTAAAAGGAAGTAAGGGAGAGCTGCAGAGGAGGAGGGAGGAGGCTCAGGTTGGGGACAGCCCCCTGCACTGCTCCTGCCACACCCTGCATCACAGGGGCAGGGGTGGGGAGGGGCACGGCGGCCAGGCCTCTATGAGTTGGGGCCAGGTCTCCATCCCTTCAGGACCCTCTCAGCCTGCCTCCTCCCCTGCCCTCACCCCTCCTTGTGCCCCATCTCCCTGCCTGTCAGCAGCTGCCATGCTAATAGGACTTCTATTTATTACTGCTGCTCCTCCTGGCCCACTCTGCTCAGGAATTCCATTAGGTTTTCCAGCCTGAGGTGCTTCTCTTCAATTACTCCTTTCGTGGGTCTGCCGTGGTGGCCTTGCTCCAGGCTGGTCTTCCTCCACCGCCCTCGGAGGAGCCGTCTCTACTCTGGCTGCTTAGCAAGCGGCCCTCCCTGTTGACCCAGGAGCCCTTCTGCCCACGTCTCTTGCCCACTTCCATCAGCTCCTCTCAACCAGACACGGTCCCCCCAAGGACTCAGGGCACGTGGGCAGGTCAGTCCCACCATGCGCATGTGTGTGTGCTCAGGTGTGTGTGCACACGTGTGTGTGTGTGTGTACATGTGTGTCTCCACCTCCTGCTAAGGCATTCCATACCTATCTGTCTGAGGTAACTAAAGTATGTATTGATCACCTACTGTTTACAACAGGCTATATTTAGCCTCTTGGGGAGCCAAGTGTAACCCATGGTCCTTGTCCCAAGGAGTCAACAGTGTGTTGATACAAATACAGTATGTACATTTTAAAACATATTTTAAAGCCAGGCACAGTGGCTCACACCTATAGTCCCAGCACTTTGGGAGGCCCAGGCGGGTGGATCGCTTGAGGCCAGGAGTTCAAGACCAGCCTGGGCAATGTGGTGAAACCCCATCTCTACTAAAAATACAAAAATTAGCCAGGCATGATAATGTGCTCCTGTAATCCCAGCTACTCAGGAGGCTGAGGCATGAGAATTGCTTGAACCTGGAAGGCAGAGGTTGCAATGAGCAGAGATCGCGCCACTGCACTCCAACCTAGGTGACCGTCTCAAAAAAAACCCCAAAAAACATATTTTTTAATGTAGCAGTTTTAAAAGGTGGAAAAAACAGGTATTAAAACAAGTTCTAATATGTTCTCACACCCTAATGGATCACTTTGTATTCCCCTTTAGGGCAGGCACCTCCTTTTGGAGATGACTGTATGAATGAGATGCTCAGAAGAAAGTCCCATCTGTGGTTTCAGGAGAACCATAATGCCCAAGAGAAGAGAAATATGGATACCAGTGTGGGGTCCAAGTCCAGTGACCACAGGCAGGGAGGAGTCAGCTGGAGAAGGGGCAGTAGGGGCTGGGAGGATCAGGAGAGGCTCTATGGTGAGAAGGGCCTAGGGCTGCTCCCAGGGACACACAGGAAGGTCGGCTGGCCAGAGCAGGCCATAATCCAGGCAAGCAAGGATGTGTGCAGTGGGGAGGCAGGCCAGGACCCCAGCCAAGGAATTGAGGCTTGATCTTGGAGGCAACCCAGAGGGAAGGCAGCTTGTGTGGGGGCGGCACAAGCTCTGGAGTCAGATAGGGCCGGTGTTTCAGCCTGGCCTTGCCATGTACTAGCTGTGTGACCTCAGGTAAAGTAATGAGCCTCACTTTGTCCATTTGTTTAAAAAGGAATAGAAAAGAAAGAGAATGTATCCATCAGCTTATATTGCAGTAACGAGTTAGCACCACATAAAGGTTGATTTCTCATGCGGATGAGAGGCCAGCACAGGTGGGCAGGGAAAGCCCACCCCGTGTAGTCGCCGACGGGCACGATCTGCAGGTCCCTCGGTCCCTGCAGCACGGAAAAGGCAGCTGGAGGCCTAAGCACCAGCTCTTCTGTGCTTCATCCCAGAAGTGGCTCTGCGACTTCTACCCAACGACTATTGGCCAGAACTAGTTATGTGCCTCCACCTCGCCACCAGCAGACCAGGAAGCATGGGGAAGGTGCCAAGTAGTTGTCTCTGCCACAGAGGAGGAGGCATGTACAGGGCGCAGCACAGCACCTGTCTCACAAACATTAGCTGTTGTCATCATTGAGGAGCTGTAGCTCCTGACCAGGACTGGGTCCAGTGAGCAGCTGTAACACTGGAACCCCCCAGGCCTTCTCACCCCAGCTGGTTGAGGGCAATGTAACCCTGACACCTCCGGTTTTATCTCAGGCTCCCTTTGCTAGAAGCGCTTTCTGAAATGTCTGCAGGAATGCTCAGGGGTATCTGGGTCCAACCCACCTCTAGTGACTGCCCCCCACCCAGGCTCAGCCATTGGCATACCCACTGCGGTCAGGGCACCCAATGCCGCCAGGGACCATTCCCTGCTCTCCATGGCTGTTTTCCCCAGGGAGCTGGTCGGTGTCTCTGACAATGCAAGCCTGGCCTCCTCTTCTCCAGGGCACAGTGAGTTGCAGAGACAGAGCCAATGAGGAGAGGCAGCCCAGGAGCCCAGGCCACCCAACCCTGAGGTCACCTTGGCCATCTTCCAGCCTCCGGGTGGGGTGGCCCCCAAACCATCCCGCATGTGGCACCGGGCCCATTCCTCAATAAGAGGGAGGAATGAGTTGCTTTCAGCCCCTGCCCTGCTCCCGTGTGTCTCACGTCCTTCTCTAGAGGAATCCAGAGCTGGCTGGGTGAATGCTGCGGAGGACCAGTCTCCGTATAGGGAGGCCCCACCATGACGGAGGATCAGGCCCAGGCACCCCGTGGAGCATGTAGCCACATTGTCAACAGGAGCAAAAGAAGAACTGCAAAAGCAGTTGAACATTGCCTGAGTGTCCAGAATCAGAAAAATCAGGGAACCACAAAGAGAAATCAGGCAACTGTTAGAGAAAAGATTTTTAGAAAAGTGTTGTTTCTTGCCAGTCCATTTCTGAGGAAAAAGTACATCTGTTGGGATTTGTGTCTGGGTTGAAGGTGACTCTGGATTTGCTTGGTGTGGCAGGAAAACGTGTTCATTGAGCAAATTCTCTGGAGGGAAGGGAGCCGGCGGAGCAGTCACAACCCTCTGTCCCAGGCTCTGTGGAGCCAAGTGACTCTCGCACTGCCCGTGATTAGGGTGAGGATCCCATTAAATCTAACTCCTGATTGCACTAAATGGTGCACGGGGGCAGGGCATGCCTGGTTTGACTCACCAGTGTAACCCAGGCCCCCATGCTCTGCCTGGAATGTGGGGGGCACTCCAGAAATGAGCAGTGGTTGAGTTGATACACAGTTAAATGCCCAAGTATCAGGGAGATGGCCCAGGGCTTTTTCCAAACCGGGTCTGGCTGAGTTTGTGTAACAAGGATGACCTCAGAAATCCACTGCGGGGCAATGGAGGGAGCTGATGCAAAACAGAAAGGGAAGGAGGAAGCAGTGTAACTTCTCCAGAGGAACTTTGTGGCAGTCGCTCCTAATGAGGACGCTAATCGAATTCACTGTTGCCACCAGATCGAAGATTCTGCTCAGTCTCTCACTGAGTCTCAGGCTCTGCCAGACCATTCACAACAACAAAGGTGCTTGAAAGCAGTCCTTTCTGTCTCCCAAGGACTCCATTCACATTGTCAAGTCTCACTGAGTAATTTCTTCTCCTTTGCCTGGCTATAGAAAACCAGGGAAGGAAAGGACGGGGTGGGCTGAAACCAGCAACAACCCATTTGTACCTTGTGACAGTTGAGATGCAAATAGCTGGTTGTGATGCAAATCAGGGGAAAAAAAAAAAAATCCGAAAGGCAGAAGCACCAGAAGTCAGCCTTGGTGTGGGGAGCTCATCTCTGAGTTTCAAATTAGAGGTTGTGGCAGCCTCATTCCCCTGCACGAAGCAGCTGGGCGTTTTCTCATGTCTTCCTCGGTGTTCTGGGGAGCCACGGTGAATCGGCAACCCACTCACCCACCTGGAGTCCTACGATGTATATCCTTAAACCCCTGTGCCGCCCTTGCCCCCAACATATTCTTCGTATTTTCTGTACTTGGGTCAACTTTTCTTCTCCTGGCCTTGCCTGCAGCCCTCCCCAGCCTCACCTCATTAACGTGCCTGGAAGCTGAGTCAGCCACTGGCAGTACTGCTTTCGCTTCTGCACGGGGACAGTTTGTTGCGC